GTTTTAACCCAAAAAAAAAAAAAAAAAAAAAAAAAAGGCCCTATGCAATCCCTGTAGCCATAGAACATCAGGAGAGAATACTTCATTATTAGGGCATCTGCTACACTCTTGACATTTTCTAGAGTTGCTCCCATTTTCTAGGGTTGCTCACTCTGTTGGGCAGAATCTTCCTAATTTATAGACATGCAGTATAATGCTCTGATTACTTCTTTAGACATTGTAACCATTAGCAGAGGATATTTAAAGCAGAATTATAGTATTATGCTACTAGCTGATGAACAGTTTCTGCCTCTAGAAAAAAAGGAGACCCTGGCACAGCAAATTGGTTGACAAATGAAAGTGGCGAACAGAAGGAACTGGATGCCGTTAAGTCAGCTGCAGTTGCCCTGCTTCAGCCTGGACCCGAGAGGAACACACTGTGGATGTGGTCAGCTGTGCGGTTTTCTTTGCTTTCTCCTCTCTGCCTTCATCTCGATTCTGCATGACTGAAGGGAGTGGGGTGTGGTGAAAGCATAGTTTAAGGAACGGGCAAGAGTTGACTAAACTGGTACAGAAGTAATCCTGAGAAGATGCCCACTGGGTATGGAAGTTCACTATGTTGACTCCGATGTTTCACTTCTGTGGCTCCTGGGAACTTTCTGTCTTTGTTATCTCCCAGACAAGACTGAGCCAAGCATTTGAGTACTGGTAGCTTCTTGGGAAGGTGATCTGCTTACTCAGAAATCAGAAAGTGGGAAGGTTGAAAAGCCACTTTTTAAAAAAGGATGCATTATTGAGATCATTGCTGTAGGCAAAAGGGTCCATTCTACCAGGGTCTGAAGAATTAACAACACCTCCCAAAACTGTTTGGCTGAAAGGCAAGAGGCTGCCCTTTTTCTATCATTTGAGCTCCCAGGGTGCAATTAATACACTTTCATCCCATCCAGGCTTTTGGAAAGTAGCTCTGTACAAGTCTCTGAGGCAGAAAAAAACATCATGCCTTCCCATTCACTTCATGGAGGAGGCTTTCTGAGCTCCAAAGCCCTGGTCATCCATTGTTCCATCCAACTGACTCTCTCTGATGTAGCCTCTTGTAGGCCTAATGGGTCAAAAAAAAAAAAAAAGTACTTTGCAGAAGTGATTTAAAAATTTGAGACGGAGAGATTATCGTGGCTGTACAGTGGGCCTTAAATGTAATTACAAGTATCCTTAGGAGAGACAGAAGATTTGACAAAGACTCCAGAAGCAGGGATAGGAGTGATAGGGCCACAAGTCAAGGAACATCAGTAACTACTAGAAGCTAGAGAAAGCAAGGGATGGACTCTCTCCCAGAGCCTCCATATCAACCTTCTGACTCCTTGATTTCAGACTACTAATGTCCAGAAATTTGAGGAAATAAATATGTTTTAATCTGCCAAATTTGTGGTAATTTAGAAAACTAATATACTACCTCTTGTCTAGATATTTCTAGGCTGGCTCCTTTATGTCCATTATCTGGCCCTTAAGAAATGCTTTTTTGCCCAGATGTTGGTAGATGTGTGGCTAAATAAGGACAGCCCAATTTTTCTTGCTCTAATTCTCATTTTCCCACCTTAGATAACTTCAACATCTCCCCACTAGTTTCACCCCAGTTATTATGCACCAAACTCCAGAAACCATGGATTAAGTTCCCCAAAATGGTTCCCTTATACTTGTCCTTTGGTTGAAGGTAGAGAGTTATATCTTCCTTGACCTCATAGGAAATGCAACAGAAATCAGAAATTTCCAAGAAAAATTTGCCTGTTCCCTCCTACTTCAACCCTTAAACACCCTACCCTAAACCCCTACTTACTGGCAAGTCCAGCTCACGACATCCAGGCTCTTGGTTTATAAAATGTTAGGTGACAAGATTCCTTTTGCTAACTCTTAAGACTTTTGGCTTCAGTTCAAACCAAAGCTCAAAGACTCTTTTATTGTCTAGAAATAATAATTTCATTATTGAAGTGTGCACCCTGGGAAGCAAGGAATGGCTCTGATCTTGGGCGCACCAGGAACAATGCTATGGCCAAGGTTATTTCTCCTCTCCAGCTTCCCAAGTTTTCCTCTTAGGAAAATGTGTTGGGTGAGACTAA